AAACGAGAATGTAAGAAAAGCAAACAAAGCAAGGGAGATTGACACGCATGCGGACTAAAGGAAAAGCATTTGAATGAAAATGTACATAAATTTATCCATATTAATGTCTCCATTGGTGAGAGAAACATTTTACAAACCAGCGCAACAAGAATTGAGAAATATTTTGCTGGGTATTACAAAGGGAAAATTAACTTCCTTTCTTCGCGCTGTCGTGTAATGATATATTCTTTTTTTTACGTGATATAGACACTAGTCTAAGTGGCTTGTGCAGTGGAAAAGTATTTATTATTCTTATGGGTGGCTTGAAAATACGCGGCTTTGTTAGTACTGGTGTCCAAATGAGCTGGGATTGGCCAACCCTTTCAACAACCAAGATCGTGGCCGCGCGAATAACTTCCCCATAAGGGACCTGGTACTTGATTGACAAATCCCAGCGTTTATTCAGACGCCAGTATTAGCAAAGTCGCGTATTATTAGGATCGTAATGTTGTTGTAATGTTGTTGAAGCTTCACCTTGGTGTTTGTGAATTATTTAAAGTGTCATTAAAATTTTGAATAATCGTGTAATGTATATTACTACAGAAAGTCGGTCAGTTAAGAGAAATGAAACCCAAAAGGAGAGGACGGCTCGATAATGATTGGATTGGCCATCCTAGGTTCGAGGCCTCCTCTCTGCGCCTGGACCTCCCTTGCTTTGACCCTCAGAAAACGAAGCCAAGTATTTCGAGGCTATTTTCTCATTCTTTACCATCAAATACTTTGCCAATATGCTATAACTTTGCCAAAATGTTATGGATGGAGAGAGCTCTGATGAGAGTAAACTGTCCTACATGTCCTGATAACTCGACCACATCAGTTCCATTGAACCTGGACCATTTGATTGCGAAAGTATCGCAGAATTCTCGCGAGCAAACAATCAGGCCGCAGTGTTTCCCCAAAAAATTCACCCGCCAGTGCGCGTTGTGCCCTCGGTATAATGTACGTACCACTTATTTTCCACGCTCAACAACTTTTTTGCGTTTATGCTTTGAGTTTTGATTCTTTTAACGTGTTGACGGTCCGTGGTGTGATTGGCCAGATGTGCCCGCTTCGACAATAGTCACAAGAAAACTGTGTCTCCTGTTTGCATTGCTTGTTTGAACTGATTAGCGTTATATTTATGCATCCGTGCAGACGCCATCGTGAATGGCCATCATGGGGTGGTGCAATACTTGAAGGCATGTGGAGGTACCATAAGTGAATGCAAGTTGGCCTCTCTGATGACAAGCGCTGCCAGCACCGGTGATACAAGGACCATGAAACGTTTAATAAGATGGGCCGGTCACGTGAACGTGTCTGACTTTAACGGACAGACCGCGCTCCACATGGCAGCGATGTGCGGCAGGCTCAATGTCGTTAATTTGTTGCTGAAGGAAGGTGCAGGTCAGTTATAAACGATTTTTCAGCAAGAATAGGGGGTGCACACGAACGTTGTAACTGTAAACTAGAATTTAGAGGAAAGGAATGAAACGAACTCAAATCGTCTCATCGTGGCACTTAAAGGCGGTGGATATTCTTACTTAACAATAAAATAAGCGTATTTTTGCTTGGAATGTTTACGTTGTGCCATTTGAAGGGTTTTTGACGGATGCTCATCTTTGTGCACAGTAAAATAAAAAGCCCTCTAAATTCAAACGGTCAAATGTCAAAAATGGCAAACTGTCACACCGTCTGTTTGGGTTCCCTGTGGTAAGAGAGAATCGAGGCGGAACAAAGATTGTTGAGAGTTGTGAAGATTGAAACTTCTTGCGCATGACGGACTTTCACGGTGCACAACCGTGAGGAGGCGTGAACGGATCATGGTCGTAGTGACCAGCAACCGGAATAAAGTATCAGGTCAAACAGTTGTCGAGTTGAGCTACATTATGAATAGTTGGAAATCAGTTTCACCGAGTACTGAACACAAACTTCAGTCTTCGAAGAGATCGATTTAGTTGTTACTAATTAAGGGAAAAAAGGACTAAAAGACAAAGGGGTGATGAAAATTCTGGCTGAAATGAACTTGACGAATTGAGACTTGTTTTTCTCTAAGATGCACAAATCCTACCGTAGCCATACTATTTTATACCTGTTTTACTTTCAGATGCAACACTGGTCAATCGTTATGGGCAGATTCCGTTGCAGGTAAGACACCTTGGCCATAGTGGTATGGTTCCTTAAATAAATTTCAATTTAACTCCTCGCCACAAATATCATTTCATTTTCGTTTTTTCATCTGTTTCACACAGATAGCAACAGCTAATGGCCATAAAGCGGTTGAAAAGGAACTTCGGAAACAACTTAAGGTACGAAAACCTCAAGATACTGAGAGTGGTACCACCTTGTCCTCATAGGGCTGGGCGTGGTTGTTAAAGATAAATTGTAATCGGGTTTGAACGTCACTGGAAAGATAGTGAACACTGTAAAATCAGGGTAGACCAATTTCCGGTTGAGTATCGAATAGAGCAACGATTACTGATTGTGCTTTACATCGCTCTGTGATTGGTCCATAAAACTCGCACTTCTCTCTCAACCAATCAGATGAAAAACTAAAACTAGTCACGACGTGGTCACCCGCGTTTTCCCGCGCTCTAGGCAATTTAGTTATTTTTCGTTTGTGTTCTCATTAGCTCCTAAAGGTGTTTTCCTTTCTTCTGATTGGCTGTTGAGATTTTTACGACACTTTTAAGTCGAAAAGCGCTCAATCAGGTGGGATTATAATGGTTTTGCTGTACCTCTGTAGGTGATTGGTCTACAAGACTCGTGTCACTCTCTCAACCAATCAGATGCAAAACTAAACCAATCCAGAGTTGGTCATGTTAGGGAGGTATGTCAGTCCTGACTATCAAATGATGGAAAGAGGTCGCGCTTCCAAAAGCATTTCATTGCAAGACTATAGAATATATCAAACTAAAAATAAGCAACGCAAAGTTAAGCATAGTGTTTTATTTATCTCAATAGTGGCCATGCGTTATCATTATCATTGTGCCTGACAGCTCTGCGACGATTTTTTTAAAATTGACTTTCATTCCTTTCTTCGCAGCTCACTGAAGAAATTATTCTCACCGACCAGGTTACCACAATAACATGCTACAGCCCTGAAGCAAGAAGGCGAGGAAGGAAATCTAAAACTGATCGGCCACAATACAGTTACTCAAAGCGCCCGTCTAGGTCCTCAACAGAAAACTCCCTGGAACTCCAGCAGTATTGCGAGCATAGTGTTAATAGTATTCACACGTCTCGGGAACTAATCAACCCGGCAAACGTACGGGCACCGTTAGAAGGAAATGACATCTCGCAGTTACCAATTCTAAATGTAAATACACACGCAATTTCTGGTCTTACTGCACAAGCGCGAGAGATGACAGGGGGACAGCCAGATTATGTTTGATGCTGGAGAGAAATCGATCGGTAAAGCGTTTTCCAAACGGAAAAATCAAGAACCTGTGACTCCTTGAAAGTACCCCACAGGTAGTTAGGCAGCAAAGAGGAATGTACAAGTCAAAGGCCACGAAAAAACTGCTTCTTTATGCAAGAAGAGCTTTTGCTAGAATTGCATTCAAGCAAACAAGATCCTTGCTAGGCAATCCTCTGTTGAAACTCCCAAAGTTGATGCGAAGGGTTCCCGAAACGTCTTATCGAATCAAAAATTAGCTTGAGCGTCGAAAAGTTCACCTTCCCATACAACCGATGCTTTCTGACCATCAAAACCTGCTTGCGCGAAATTGTTCACTTTCTGACATGTCGAGATGTCAAGATCCTTGATGACCACAAAGTACAGATAAGTTTGTCTTCTGCCCCTTAGTGGCTGTAGAATCGATTTGTTTAAATGGTACATTTTTCTTCATTTAGTCATCAAACAGACCTCCTGGTTCTTCAGCATCTGAGTCATCAACTTTTTCATCTTTGGTTTTTTTCCTTTGGAATTTACTTTGCCTTTCTAAAATCTTGAAGACAGAAACAAAATATAAACATTTAAATAACATACAATTTACAGAATTGAACTGACAAAAATTCAAGGATGATTTTTAAAACAGAATATTGTTGTACATAATGTTTTAAATTTATTTAAAGGGCAAAATCAGCTACAAATTTTTGAAAAAAATTTAGTTTTAGCATCATTGCCCTATTTTTTAAATTTATAAACTGAGGGAAAATCAGTTTTGTATAGTAAGAGTAATATTTAACTTTCTTTTATAATTTAAAATCTTGATTAATCTTTAACTCCCAAGATCTGATTGTTAATTCTCCCCTCTAGGTGCTTTCTTGTAAATTGGTTACAAGAATTTGGTGTTAGATCAAGGTCACAACTTCTACTTGATAAATTTGAATATTCTCATGACCTTTTTGCCAAATTACGTATGGATATTATACAGAGAAGTTTCATGTTGATCACTTCTTGGAGTTAAAGGGTTAAGGAGATGTAGAAAACAGTTTGAAAGAAATGAATAATCACTAGAACTTGACACTGAGGCATCGCATTGTTTCCTTAAAAGATTTTCATCAAATTTGGTACATAAAATATTTGGTCAATTGGTAAAGATGAATTAAGGGTGTAAATTTCTAAAGAAATTGTAGTTTTGCATTGGCAAAGATTTTACAAGATAATTTGGTTGTATTAACTGAGTTGATAATGAAAATTGGCCACTGTAAAGAGTTTTCATAGCTGACATTTTGACCATCAGCCCTTTGTTACAAGGTTAGCCCTTCCCCATTTATGCTGTTGAAGGGCTAACACTCAAACTGCTAGCTTTAGCAACTTGCTATGGTGACCACTTTCCATTATCAACTCAGTTGGTAAAACCAAATCATCAGATTAGAGATGGTTTAGTAAGTGGTATTACTTCAAGTAACTGGCTCTGTCTATACGTAATAAACATTCAAAAGAATTTGCAATTGTCAATAGCCAAAAGACAACAAAATGCTTTATCCTATTCTTGATGTTTATTTTCTTTCAAACTGTCTTATTTAATACTCAGAAATGATTCAATGATGCAGAGAAGTATATATCTTAAATCTCCTAAGGATTATTAAAAGCAGGTAAAGTAATTCCTCCAATAAACTTCCTGAAAGCTCATTAGAGCATGAACAGTTGATTTGGAAAGGATTAGGAATTTGAAAGCAAATTTGCTTTATTCAGAGAGGAAGATCACCCAGTGTACCTACATCTATTGCATTTTGCCAACTGCTAAATTCGCCCAAACTAGTGACATGTCAGCTAGTGACTAACCATGTATGTCTTTGGCTGTTATTTTTAAAAAGATTTCCTCTGCCTGAGGTACATTTGTCTACACAAGTTTTAGAAGATAAAGCTTTCAATACAGTAATGGAAAGTAATCATTTGTGACAATACTTTGTCATAAGTGTCCTTCTTGATCTTCCATGTGGCATTCTTGAAGTACTCTAAGTTCTCCTCTGTAAAATCAACTTCTTGTGTCTTTCTTTTCTGGCCTGTAAATAATTATAGTATTTACAAATCAAATCAGAACCCTTAAAGAACTTGATTGAAACAAAAGTGTCTATAGAAGAATTGGGATGAAACTTTGAATGTACCAGACAACATTGGGAATAAATGACTGGAAATATATGGAAATCATATATGTGAACTGTGGTTTAAAAATGGATGTGAAAGGGATCTTTGCGGTAATGAACACCACTTACGCAGTAGTGAAAACATTGTCTGAAAAAATTCAGGCCTGAATGGCATTTGAACCCATGACCTCTGCAATACTGGTGCAGTGCTCTGACAACTTTGCTTTCACCTCTGCTTAAGTGGTGTTCATTACTGTGAAGATTGCTTTCAAATTCTCTGTTGGGGTTGGTGACATATTGTGAGGTTCTCAATAAGATTTGACCTAAGCCTCTGTCCAAACTGAGGTGGTGTCAAGTTCCTCCCACTCCACTCTCTCAGAGCCATCTTCAGCTGTTGCAACATTCAGGTGTCTCCGACCCTGTGCAACTGATATTTCTACAAGTTTATCACAGGGCAAGTGGTAATATGTGGACTCCAACTTAAAATATAAAAGTATGGTGCTCAGCAAAATCAAAATGGTTTATAGTTACCATCGCATAAAAGCTGAATTAAGGAAGTTTCCAAGGGTTGTAGTAGTGCTACTGTTGGGTAACATCACATGGCCTCTAAGAAAAGACCATGGATGTTTGGTCATGAAAATTTGAGAAAAGCATGAACAATAGTATCACCAAAACTTGTAAAACAATGTAGTCTAATTTATTTTTAGAGCTAAAAACGCTAAGAAAATAATAAGGAAACTGTATAGTGCCTAATGAAACTTCTCTCTTTTGCAAAAGCTTGTGATTTGTCACACAACTTTGTAATACATTCTGCCCTTACATAAACACTGCGTACCTAAAGGATCTTCATGAAAGGAAACAACGAGAGAACAATTTTAATACTTCATTTTAAAAACGAGATCCAAAGCTGTATTACTTCAGTACCTGATGATAACTGCAAGCCTCTTACTTCACGTGCGCGTGATTGTTTCTGTTTGTTTCCTCTCGAAGTTCTTTTCTGCTTCTTAGCGAGTTGTTTCTGCTTCTGTTTTAACTTCTGTTTTTGAGATCTTGATACTCCTTCCCCGATCACAAGATCAAGGCCTTTACGAACCAATTTGGAAGACATTTTCGAGGCAATTTTAACTCTATATTTATCGGTAGATTTCCTCAGACATGCTAAGAAGAAATTACGACATTTATTTCACTCGTCTGCGATGTCATTCCCAGACTCACCCAGACTTATGAACTTTGACGTCTGATTGGCTGAATACTTTCAAAATCCCGATATTCTTTTCGAGCCCGATAATTCTTCAAAATGGCGGCTGTCGGTTGCTTTACGTGAGAGTAAATTTTTGGAGAAGTGAAGAAATAGCATTGAAAAAATGAATTTCCTTAGAACTCCAGAGGACAGCACTGCTGTTGTGAGAATCATGGGTGAATTCGATCAATTTCTAACGAGTGACCCAAGGAGCCGGCTGACTTATGAAGATCCATCAAGCGATGGACATGAGCAAAGTCAGAGACCATCTTCCAAAAGCTTCGCGAAAACTTTGAATAAATCGAGGAGCCAGGGAAGCCTTTTTTCTAACGAGCGTGAAAAAGATGTGGAGCTCATCAAAAGCCGAAGCAAAATCGCGCACCTAGAGAGTCAAATGAATGTCCTGGAATCAGAAAGAAAACGTGCAAGAATCGAGTTTGAAAAGGATAGTGGAAATGACAGGCTTGAACGGAGGAGAATGGAAGAGAAATACGAAGACCTACAAAAAAACATTCAGTATATCGCAGAGCAAGAAAAAAACGCCAAAGATCAGTTGAAAGACCTGAAAAAAGAGTACGAGACTTACCGCAACAAATCCGAGCAAACGATTCAAAACTTGCAGAGGGAAAAACTAAAACTGTGTGCAGAAAAAGACGAGGTACATACCTTTATCGGATCTTCTTAGCTTTATTTCCATTTTTTTGCGTTTAAGTGGTTTGTTTCACTTCAAAAGAACGCAAAGCAGGATTTATTACTGTCGGCTGAGTATTGAGACTTATCAAGTGTAATACAACGTGTTAATTATTTTTCAGTTGCGGGAGGATTCTAGTAAAAAAGAAATGGATTTGAAGAATTCACTTTTCAGGTAATTGTTTAGTGAGTGAATTGGAAAGATTCCCACATCAGACCACACCACTCTAAAACAAAGCTTTAGTCCCCAAGGTAATTTATTGTTTTCGCCATCATAAGTTTTAAGAGTTCATTGTCAACAGGCCAGTTTTTCTCTTCTTCTGTAACAACGGCAAAAAGTTCCACCTTCTCAACTCTAATTTCAAACAAAAACTTTTGTTGTATTACATATGCAGTTTAATATTGGGGATTACCTCTTGTAGAATATTTCCCAGTTTAAGCTGTATCATTTGACACATTCAGATCAATAAGTTGCATCAGGATGAATATTTAATGGATTTAATCTCAAGATGTACCCCCTTGCCCCTCACCTCTGTGAAAGTAAGGAAATAAAATATTTAGTTATAGAGATGTTTCATTTTTGGTTTGTTTCAGACAGGGAACTGAGCTAGCTGTTATGCAAAATAAATTGGGAGATACTGAGAGTCAGCTTGAAAATGTCAAAAGGTAATTAAAAGTGATCTCCGTTTACGCTTCTTATTGCACAGAGTTTCTTTAGTTGGTGATCATTTCTTTTATTCTTGTGTCCTTAATATGTGATTAAGGGGTGATATTTTAAGGAGAAATCAGATGCCAGTTACTCTCAGGGGTCAAAGGATTATGAAAATGTAAGAATGTATGTGTAACATGAGAGTAGAATATGTTTGATTTTGTGGACAATTCTTAACAAACAAATTTGCGTATCCATTATGTATTTTCATTTACCTTATATTTATAGTACTGGGTATGTATAGATTCTCATACATTAATTTTAATTTTACAGAAGACTTAGTGAAGTGATGACTCAGCTTCCAGAGCTTGAACAGCTAAGAGAACATTCAAGAACAGCTGAGCATAGGGTCAAGGTAAACTGAAGACATATTGTAGACTTCATGTTATTACAGCAGTGTTAAATTGTTTTGAAGTAGGTGTCAGACTCTGCAAAACTAGGTGACTGTGACAAGTTCATTAACCCTTTAACTCCCAAGATCTCATTAGTAATTCTCCCTACTATCTCCCATACAGTTCTTGTGATGTTAGTTTGGAGAATTTGGTATTGGAACATCCTATAATCCCCTAACTGAAATTTTTCTTTATTCTCATTACTTGTCTTCTTGATATTGTATGGTTATTGTAAGGAGAAATTCTGTCTTGGTCTCTCATGGGAGTTAAAGGGTTAAGGGCCAAAAGGTAATTATTTTGACCAGAGTAACCAGCCACGTGTTATCAAGTAGCTGGTCAAACTCTGGCGGTCACCAGCTTGTTTTGAAATTTGTGTATTATGATGACATATTAATGTAAATATAAGAAGAGGCCCTCCTAATAAAAAAGTGTCACTTTACAGGGTTGGTTTGAGGTTATAACTTTCTAGGCTATTTTATATAAAAAAGGGCTATAAATTTTTTGAAGCATCGCAAAAGGTTGGAATTTAAAATACTTGAATCTGATTGGCTAATCACATACTCCTAACAGGTGTAGCCTTTTACAATCTGGACCATGGACTGGAGTATTTTTCTGTGCCATTCATGGCAAAGCAAAAAAACAAACCAGCAGGATAAAATTAATAAGTTATTTAGCAGTGTAGGTCATTTTGCTTGTGAAAAATACTGTGGCATTGGTCTTGAGTATGGCCCTTGGCCTTTTGATGGCGAGCCATACTCAAGACCTTGGACACAGTTTTTTCCCATATGGACCTCCTGTGATATGTTTAATTGTCAAACACTTACTTTGTAAGGAATTGGAGCAGAAGTTATCCCGCCAAGATGAAGCTACAGGAGTTGCAATGGTGATGCAGACACAGCTTACAAAGTACAGAAAATTGGAGAAAGAAAATGCCAAATTAAAAGATGAAAATCATTATTACAGGTAGATCCTTTTAACCATGCATTTCTTGGACACGATCACAGTGACTGTGCTTCAATATTAACTTAAAGAAGCTCAAGATCAGTGTCAAACTGTTACATGCTTCCATTAAGCCCTTGGCCATTTATCAATATATATTTAAATTCTTGGAAATGTACTTATGTACATGCATGCAAATTATGGAACAGGACACTAGAAGAAAATGATAAACTGTCACTTTGTACAATTTGAGTGTTAGTTAGGACCTTAGAATCGAACAAAACAAAACAAAGAATTACAGAAGTTTGCATTTCCTTCAAGCTGGTTTGAATGGGGGCCTTCAATACTTTGTTTCACAAGTTCTGCTATTTCTTCAAAAAGAAATGAGCACCCTGTTCCAAATAAGTGCCTACCTTGGAGGTACCATAAGTAAATAAGTGTCCCAGGCACTAAATTAATTCATTACTGTACTCTCTTAGTATTTCATTATGATGCACCATTTTTAATGATTGGCCCTTTTAACCACATTACACAACAAAGTGCATGTCCTTTTAAATACTTTTAACCTGTCTACATGTGTGTTTTGCCTATTTGCTCTGACAAAGGGCAAACACTTAAAAAAAATAGGCCCAACAAACTCTTGATGGTGGCCAAATTTACATTCTCAACTCAGTGGATAAAACCAAACAATATGTTTTTTATGTTTACTTGCATTTGACAGAGAAACAAATGAAAGTAATCTTTTGTTAAAAGAGAAAGCAGACAATTTACAAGGGAAACTGCAGAGAGCAGAGCAAAGAGTTACAGAGTTAATGAGAGTGGAGATTGAAAATGAGGTCTGTAAGTGTGTGTTTTCATAAGTAAAAACATTTGGCTTCTGATAATCCTTATTTAAATTTCTAGTAACCTTCTGTAGTGTTCCTCAAACAGAAAAGAACATGGCATTCAACACTGACTCTGATTCTTATTCACTGTCAATTGAGCACTGATGAATCGCATGAAGGTTCAAAACAGGCAAACAATCCAAAAAAGAAACTACGATTTGATTACTATTTCTGTTTGTGGTTTTGTTTTCTAATGGCCTATACTGGCTTTCTATCTTTTTAGTCAGAGCACTCTCTCACTCCATGCACAGTTTTCACAGTTTTCCTTGGTTTACAGTAAAATTTAACCCTTTATACCCTAATATCACAATCCGTATTCTTCATGCTCTTCTTGATACATTCCTTTGCTACTGGCAAGGAGAAGTTGTTTAACAATCAAACCCTCTTAGGTTAGTGATTATTTCCTTTACTCTCAGGACTCTTATGAATGATTCAGCAGTGTTGCTGTAAGGAGAAATTGGATGCTGCTCAATCTTTATACATGATTATTTATAAATGGACAGGTTGTGGTTCAAGCAAACCATATTTTAGAATTGTACACTGACATTTTATGTCATGAACACTATTTGAGAGTGTTTTAAGAACTTATACTTTGTTTGCGTTTTTGTTGCTGTGTTTTGTATTTGTTGCTGAGATTAGTAAATTATAATTAACTTCATAGGAGCTTAAAAAGAAAATTCAGAAGTGGGAGACTGAAGATCTGTCAGGGACAAAAAGGCTAAGGTCTGCGAACCATAAATGATTCTTTCCAAAGCGATTAATGCTTCAATTTGCAGTTGATATTGTAAGCTGAGTCACACAGACTTTCCTGCTATGAACAATCAGTTCACTAAATTCAAATTAATTTACCATGATATTAAAAGAGTGAAAAATGATAAACAACTGAAACTCCAATATATGCTAGATATTATATCGCTGTCACCCACGGAATTTGTTTCAAAATGTGGATAATTGCATGTTAATTTATTGAATTTACATTTGTTATCTTCTCTGCCTTGATTGCCTCTTAAATGAGGCAACAATAGCCAGGTAAAAGTCAAATGATGTTAATTCTGCCATTTTCGAATAGCATGTACATTTTAATACCTATTAAAGATCCATTTCCCAACAGATCTCCAGCCCAACTTGCACAAGATGTTGCAAATCTTCAAAAGAGCCAAGTAGTGTTATTAGAAACACAAAGTGAGCTGAAATCTAGGTAATCTGGAACCTGCTATTTTGATTTGACACTAAATTCTCTTAACTCGTTGGGAATATATATGGCCCTTAGGCTAAGAAGGAATAATTACTATAATTCAAGTGATGGGATTTTTAAGAGTTAGCCTCTATCTGAGCAG